GTCCCTGCCTGGGTCCTCTATGCCCTGTGGAACCTCAGAAGGTTCCCATGGACCCCCTGCTCAGACTTGTCTGGGTCCCTCTGGACGGTGTCCTGTCCTTCAGCAATCTCTAGCACGCATCTCAGCTAGACCCCTCATCTTTCTGACCCTGACCCCTTTTCTCTCCTCTGGCCGCCCCCAACAGAACCAGGTACGCCGGGAGATCACCTACGCCCTGCGGTCCCTCCCCTGGATCAGCGTGCCCACCGTTGCCCTCTTCTTCGCTGAGGTGCGAGGCTACAGCAAGCTCTACGACAACATCGAGGACTCCCCGTACGGTGAGCTGCTCTCCCCTACCCCCCTCTCCCCGAGGCCCGGGTCACCCATCCGGGTCCTCCCGCGGCACGCGATATCCCTGTGTCGACTGATGACGCCGCGTCTCCTGTGAGCCCTGTGACAACCGCTTGCCTCCCTCTTGCCTTGACCCGCTACCAGCTAGTACTCACTATCCTGGGTACCCTCGAGGTGCCCGCCTGCCCTGGAGCTGGGACCTCTCGTGAGACCCTGCTCTGCGCACGCCCATGTCCACAAAGATTCCGGTTCCTTTCCCAACCAACACTACAACAACTGGATACGTGACACCCTTTCCCCGTGTCCCCTGATGCCGTCCGACCCTCTCACCTCATCTCCCTATCTGCACGAACCCCGACATGCCTTGGCGTGCCCCCAGCCGCAAGGGCCGGTCCACCTCTCCGGACCCCGGCTCCTCGACTGCCCTCGCGATTTTCTGGCGCCCCTGAGCAGCACCCATAATCTCCCTCTTCCCACAGGCTGGACGGGTGTCTTTCTCAGCATGCTCTCCTTCCTCTTCTTCACCGACATGGGCATCTACTGGATACACCGCGGCCTCCACCACAAACTGTTCTACAAGGTAGGAGACCCTCGCCCCACACTGGGAACATGGTGGAGCCCCTCCTCCCAGGAACGTGGGCCGTGACAGGAGGGCAGGCCAGGGCCTGGCCTGCAAGGTGTTGCCTCCACTTGGATCTGAGTGCGAGCCAAGTGCCTGTTATGGCCAACATGGGCCGCATGTCCCTCTCCCCTGCCCTGGGCCCCCGGGGAACCCCCTTGGGGGAGCTGGCCCGCACGCCTACCCCCGTCAAGCCCCCGGGCCCGTGGGCCTCAGGGACCGACGGCGTGTCCTCTCCCCGCAGCGCTTCCACAAGCCCCACCACCTCTGGAAGATCGCAACACCCTTCGCCAGCCACGCCTTCCACCCCGTCGACGGCTTCATGCAGAGCCTGCCCTACCACGTCTACCCCTTCCTCTTCCCCCTCCACAAAGTCACCTACTTGGGCCTCTACATCTTCGTCAACGTCTGGACCATCTCCATTCACGACGGTGACTACCGTGTCCCCCGCCTCCTGCGGCACATCATCAACGGCTCGGCCCACCACACCGACCACCACTTGTACTTCGACTACAACTACGGGCAGTACTTCACCCTCTGGGACAAGATCGGGGGCTCCTACAAGAGCCCCACAGCCTTTGAGGGCAAGGGCCCCCACGACTACTTGCGCCAGCTCCGAGAGAAAGCCGCAGGGGCGCCCAACGGCCTCCCGGCCACCAAGACGGAATAGGCTTCCCTCGGCCTGACCCCTCTCCGGGACCAGGTTCCCCGGCCGGATCTCGTCCCATTCCTCCCCAGCCTCTTGAGACCCTTTCCCCACAGACGCAGAGCCCCCGTCCCGCTACGGCGCAGCCAGCGCAGGGCCGTCCTTGGCGAGTTCTCCCGCCCGCCCCCGCTCCCGAAATGGCGGTGTCCGGCCTCGTCGATGAATTACGGCCTCGCTCTACGCTGCTGACCTGATCCCCCTACGGATCCCCTTCCCGGCTGCCTTCGGAGCTCCGCTACCGCCCCTGTGCTTCATTACTGGTCTGCTAATGCTTTACCAAAAATAAAAACAAAACTATGGCATGCCTGCAAAAAAAACGCCGCACAAATACAACAAAAACATGGCACAAATACAACAATATTGTGGCACAACTCGAAGACACGTGGTGCGTGGCGGTGTCTCTGTCCCTCCATGCAGCGTGCCATCGTCTCCCAGTCCTCCTTGCTCTCACAGGGAGTCCATTGGGACGAGTCGCGTCAAGTCGAGGGTCTGACGATGCCACTTTTTAACGTTTTACTTTCCAGCTGTATTTTGTGAAAAAAAGACGCGACTTCCTACCTTTTGACGATGGCGTGGATCCTCCCGACAGCTCCTCGGCGTGAAGAGGGCTCGCCCTCGAGATGCTGTGGGACTCCTCGCCGCTCCCTGCACTCTCCTCCTTCCTCTGGCATGGCGATGTCCCGTGGGATGTTGATGGGACGCATCCCAGGAACGGGGCGCCTGTAGGAGGCAAAGGCACGTTGAGTCCTGGGGGTCCCTGGAGCTCCCGGAGGACGTTGCGGGATGGGGCGGGGGAGGAATGGGCACTCGCGGGTTCCTGGCCGGCTTTCCCCCTTCCTCCTCCTGACGCCCGGCCACCCGTTGGGTCTGACCGGCGCTCAATAAAACTCTCTTGCCAAACTGCCTGCCATTCGGTCCCTTCGCCCTCGCTCCCGACTCCCCGCGTTCTCCTCCCTGTGATGATTCTCTCTCCCCCCCTGTGCTCAGGGACCCTGACCTCTGTTTGCTGATTAACCAGGAGCCCTGAGAACTGCCAAGCGTCCGGGTAAGGCCCAGATCAAATACGCTGACACCATCGCTGCCCTTTGCGTGCTGCTGTGGTTATCCATGGACCTCATTTCCTAATAACATCCAACCCCTGGAAACAGCCCCTGGCCTTTCTAGAGACCCTGTCTCTCCACCTTATTTGAGCCTGGTGCACAGCACTGGTCCCGCTGACGCTACCGAGTCGCAGAATGATGCGGGGTTGGAAGGGATCTCTGGAGATCCTCCAATCTGACCCTCCTGCCAAAATGGGTCTGCTGGAGTGGGTCACACAGGAACGTGTCCAGGCAGGGTTTGAATGTCTCCAGAGACGGAGACTCTGCCGCCTCTCTGAGCGGCCTGTTCTGGTGCTCGACCACCCTCATGGGAAAGAGGTTCCACCTCACGCTTAGGTGCAACTTCTTACATGCAATTTTCTGCCTATTTCCTCCTGTCCTGTCGCTGGGCAATGCTGAAAAAAGACCAGCCCCATCCTCCAGACACCCAACCTTTTGGTATTTATTTGATTGGATTCCCCCCAGACTTCTCCAGACTAAAAAGACCCTCGGCCTTTGCTCATCGTAGAGATGTTCTAGTCCCCTCATGCTGTACCTCTGTCCTTCTGGAACTGGGCGGTCTGGAACTGCAGAGTGGGTGGGAGCGCCATGACCCGACTTTCATAAAACTATGGCAGACGCAGCCAGAATGCTCTGCCAGATGTCCTGCTTCTGCTGGACAGTCCCTAGGATTCATACATTCGTCAATTCATACCTTCCGACAATGGATACAGACTGTCTAGTCCAAACCCCTGGCTGTGGACGGGAACGCCTCCCACCGGAACGGGACCCTCCAAGCCCCGTCCAACCGGGCCTTGAACCCCTCTGGGGATGCGGTGGCCCTGACTTCTCTGGGTGACCCAGCCCAGGGTCTCGACTCCATCGCACCAAAGCAGTTCTCCCTGAGATCTCGTCTCAAGCCCCCATCATCCAGTGAAAAACCCTTCCCTCTTGTCCTGTGGCTCCCCTCCCTGATCACGAGTCCCTCTCCAGCTTTTCTGGAGCCCCTTGAGGGACTGGAAGGGGCTCTAAGGTTTCCCTGGAGCCCTGGAGTCGGCTCAATCCCCCAACTCTCTGGCCTGTCCTCCTCCAGCCCTTGCGGCATTGTCCTGGCCCTCCTGCTGACTCACTCCCACAGATCCATGTCCTTCCTATGTTCAACACCCTTGGGAATGAGACGCAGCCCAGAGCCGACCCCAGCTGCCTGGAGGCCAATGGCTGGCGTGAGCCCCGCCGAGTCCTCTCTGCGGGCTGGGAGGGCAGACACCCTCTGGGGGACCACCAGACTGTGATGCCTCTAAACAACATCCCTCCCGTGGGGAAACTGCCTGTGCCCCGGCCCTCACACGACCGACGGAGGGAACTCGTCAGGGATGGGGCACATGCTGAGGGCAGGAGGCCCGGCGTGGTCACCCCGACGGCTCTGTCCGGCTGTGACATGCCCCTCATTGTGACTGCAGGTCCCCCTCTGGCCCCTCTGCCCTGTGTGAACGGCCCTTCCCTGGGCCTCGACAGCTCCTTGGCTTGCCTGTGCCCACGTTGTGCTGGCCGAATTTCCCAGTGGACGTCCTCAGCTCGCCCCATGCCTCTCCCGCACACAGACACCGGTGTGCCTACATTTCTGAGCCACCCTTCCTCATTCCCACCTCCCCGGAATGCTTCTCCTTATCCCACCCGTCTCCCGCCTGCCATGCGTGCCCGACCCCGACCCGGCGCTGGGAAAGCTGGGCTCTGGGAATGCCTGGCTGCGCCCTGACAACACAATCCGTTATCTTTACATACAACGGTGCCTCCCTGCAAGCGCCCGTGGTAGGACGCGATGACTGATGCTGCTGTAACCACAAGATGGAGGTGTTGCTCGCGGCGCCGGGTGGGAGCTGCGCTGGTGCGCTTGGCCTTCATCCTCCTCCTCCTCCTCCCCGTTGCCCTGGAACCATTGGGCACAAGGACGAGAGCGGTTTCGCTGGAGGATATGTGAAGGCTGGCCCGCGGCCGTCGGAGATGGCATGAGGCACGATGTCCTGGTGAGGACCCTTGTGTGACGCACGTGGTAAGCTCTGGAACCCGATGCGACTGCCCCTCTGCCACCTTCTCCTTGCCATCCACCTGGCTCGCCCTCTACCCGTCTCAAGGGCTGAGGGACCCTCGTCCCTCCGTCCCCTTCTCCTAGAGAAGGCTGGCCTTGTGGCCTCGGGTAAGGACGAGGCGGAGGCTGACCTGGACTGCCGACCCTGAGATGTGCTGCCAGGGTGTCTAGACCGAAGGGTGGTGTGAGCACTTGTCCCTCTCTGCCAAACGCCCGTCCTAAGATCAAACCGGCTACCCTGAGATCCCCTCAGATCTTGCACGGACACGCTGCCTGGCCGATAACCTCTGCCGTGCCTCCCTTTGCCCAGGCAGAAAGGCAAAACCGACCCCTAGTGTCTATGGCGTGGTTGTCGCCCCAAAGGGACGATGCGCTCGCCTGACCCAGACCTAGTTATCGCCAGACCTGTGGGTCCTTGGGGCGCCTGGACACCTCCCCATCCCCTTCCGTGCTGACCGAGCCTTGCAAAGTTCAAACACGCCAAAGAGGTGCCGAGATGCGGTACGTGTGTGCCCCGCGACTCGAAAGCTTCCGGCCCCGTGACAAAACACATTATGGATTTGACAAAGGATCTGTCCCTCTCCAGGAACGGTATTGGGAGACACCTGCAGGGTGACACCGCTCTGCGAGTGGACACAGACCAGACTGCTGTCCACTACTTGCAGACCAAATGCGTAGCCTTGTACCCTGCAAAGGTTCATTCTGCTCCGTTCTGCTGCCCTTCAACGTCGCCGCAAACTCAGGGCTAGCCTTCCCATGCGATGTGACCTTCCTCTGCAGATAGCCACAATGGAAATTTTGAGACACGGCTTCACTTTGGGAAACCCGAGAGACCTATCTGGCCAGAAAAATGCTCCCCTAAACAAGAAAACATGTTCCCGTGCCTATGTCTACAGTGTACAGCTTTTCCCTCAGCCTACACGCACAATAAGTGAAGCCCTTGCCCTCCCACAGAGCATCCCCAGCACCAGACCCTCTTGCTGCACAAGGAAACTTTGGGCCCTAGATTTTGACTCGAGCTCCTTTGCTTGGCATTTGGCAGCGGCCTGCACGGACACGGTGCTGGAGCCCGACATCTCCCTGTCCTGCCGTCAGGGTGACGCCGCTTGGAAATCCTCTTGGCCCCGCTCTGGGCCGAATCGCGTGTTGGGCTGGTGCCGGACGTGGACTGGGAGGGATGTATCACGGCTTCTTGAGCGACACAGATGGTGCAGTGTGACCACTGACCTCCCGGCCAGTAATAAAATATTTTGCCCTATTTTACATGGGATTCTTTCCCAGCTGGCGTGTCACTCATCAGATTGCTGTCACCTACGGATGAGACGCGGCGATGAGCGGCTAGGAGAGACCGTGCAGGGATACCAGAGAGGTGCAGTGACACACTCTGGGTCCTGGGAGACCTGATCCAGGGGGCTACTATGTGCAGCCCTGCTTACCCTCTCTGTCCGCCACACCGCGCTTACTCTTTTCAGCTCAGAAACCCAGCATCACAAACTAATAGGGGTCAGAAGGGACCTCAGGTGATTATCTAGTCCATTGCCCGGAGCAGGCTGGACAGGAATGCATCTGAGCAGGTTTGGAATATCCCCACAGAAGGAGATATTCCACACCCTCTCTGGCCAGCCTGTTCCAGAACTCCAACACCGTCAAAGGAAAAACATTTTTCCTCACGTTCAGACAGAACGACCCCTGTTCTGGTTTGTGCCGTTGCCTCCCGTCCTGCCACTGGGCGCTGCTGAGAAAAGCCTGACCCCAACCTCTTAACACCTGCCATTTAGATACTTAAAAGCATTGACAAGATCCCCTCTCGGTCTTCTTGAAGCTACACAGACCCGGGTCTCTCAGCCTGTCCTCGGACCAGAGATGGTCTCTTCCCATTATCATTTTCATAGCCCTATTATCACTACTCCGGTTATTAAACCCGAGACGTAGGCCTTCCTGCTCACGTGCCCCGATTCCAGCTGAGAAGCCTCGGCCCAAAGGTGGAGTCATTGCCACAGAACCTTTACGGCTGTGTTACGGGACACGGTGTCCCCTGCCAGGCTTCGATGCTTCTTATACACAGAGTGAGAGAGAGCATATGATGACAGCCTGAAAGAGTCCGCCTACACCCAAAGCATTGTCACAGCGCGTGCCACCGAGGCCTGATACTGACAGGTGTGGGCTTTGTCCCATCCCGCCCATCGCCTCTGGCGTGGTTCTGGCGCTCTCACAGTAAAGACAGCTTTCCTCATGAAGATGCAAAACTTCCCGTGTTCTGGTTTGTGAACTAACTCTAGCGCTAAAGACACAGGCCCTCCTATGTCCCACCCTTCACAGATCTTGGCCCACTTTCTCACTGACCGCGAGGTGTTCTAAACCTGCCCAGACGCTGTCCTGTGTGACCTGCACTGGGTGACCCTGCTCTGGTACGGGGGGGACGGATGAGATGATCTCTAGCTCAATCCTCCGCGATAGAGGGAGAATCTTCCTTTCTCTGAGCTCCTTCTCCTACCTACAAGGTCTGAGATTCCTGAGGTAGCAATAAAGACCGAAGCATGGGAGGCGTTTGGTAACTCTGGCTTCGTTGCATCCTCCCTTGAAGGAACACAGACCTCATACAGCAAATGACTGCCCTACAACCCCACAACGAGGGCCCTCTTCGCCAACATACGTGCTCTCACCCTTCCCACATAAATCAGAATAAAAGTGAATGGTCGGCCCTGCTCACGGACCTGCCTGCTCGACACATGTCT